TTTTCTTCAGTGTGTTTAAAATAATGAGAATATTTCCATCACAGGGCGATGCAGTGGCGCAGTAGGTAGTGCTGTCGCCTCACAGCAAGAAGGTCGCTGGTTCGAGCCTCGGCTCAGTTGGCGTTTCTGTGTGGAGTTTGCATGTTCTCCTTGCTTTCGCGTGGGTTTCCTCCGGTTTCCCCCACAGTCCAAACACATGCGGTACAGGTGAATTGGGTAGGCTAAATTGTCCGTAGTGTATGAGTGTGTGTGTGGATGTTTCCCAGAGATGGGTTGCACCTGGAAGGGCATCCGCTGCGTAAAAACTTGCTGGATAAGTTGGCGGTTCATTCCGTGTGGCTACCCTGGATTAATAAAGGGACTAAGCAGACAAGAAAATGAATGAATTTCCATCACAGTAATGTAAGGCTCTGCTATTTTCATTTCAGTTCCTGCATTCTCTCATTGCAGGCGAAATCAACATGACTGCCTTTATTTTAATTCAGCAGTTTATTTTTTAATAGTAAATTAACTAAACTAAAAAGTAACTTGAATATTATTACTTAATTTTGAATGTGCGTTACATCTTACTTAGAATCCCAGAGATGGGTTGCGGCTGGAAGGGCATCTGCTGCGTAAAAACTTGCTGAATAAGTTGGCGGTTCATTCCGTGTGGCTACCCTGGATTAATAAAGGGACTAAGCAGACAAGAAAATGAATGAATGAATGAATGAATGTTACTTAGAAATGTAATATTATTTCTGACAAGTGGTGTTAGTGAGGCCAGCAGGGGGCGCTCAACCTGCGGTCTGTGTGGGTCCTAATGCCCCAGTATAGCGAAGGGAACTCTATACTGCTCAGTGAGCGCCGTCTTTCAGATGAGACGTTAAACCGAGGTCCCGACTTTCTGTGGTCGTTAAAAATCCCAGGATGTCCTTCGAAAAACAGTAGGGGTTTCATCCTGGCCAAATCTGCCCACTGGCCTCTGTCCATCTGACCTCCTAACCCTCCCCATATCATAATTGGATGCTGCATAATGGCGCTGGATGAGGAGATTCCCCCGATGTGTAAAGCGCTTTGAGTGTTCTATAAATGTAAGGAATTATTTAATTATTGTCATCATTACATTACTCATGTTACTTGTAATGTGTTACCCCCAACACTCAGTATGACCTTAAAAAAACGAAATAATCAGACTCTAAATTATTGAAAATGACAAGGAGCAAAAGCACACAGAATTAGACATGCAAATAGAAGTTAAAGCTATAGAAAATAGGTAAATAACCTTAGATATGGAGAACATATATATAAAAGCTATACCAAGAAAAGAAAACGTAAAGTGGGTCTAACAAAGTGCCTGATGCATATACAGTTGAGGGCAAAAGTATTCACCCCCTTGCGACATATTTATTCATTTTCAAATATTTCCCAGATGATGTTGAACAGATTCGGGAATTGTTCACAGTATTTCCTCTAATATTTTTTTTTTTCTTCTGGAGAAATCTTTATTAGTTTTATTTTGGCTAGAATTTATAATAGTTTTAAAGCAATTTAAAGCTCAATATTATTCGCCCCTTCAGCAATATTAGTGTTGGATTGTCTCCAGAACAAACCACTGTTATACAATAACTTACCTAATTACTCTAACTTTACCCTAATTACCCTAGTGAAGCCTTTACATGTCACTTTAAGCTGAACACTAGTGTCTTGAAGAATATCTAGTCTAATATTATGTGCTGTCATCATGACAAAGAGAAAATAAATGAGTGATTGGAAGATTGATTTAGCAGAAGATCATCAAGAAGGCTGAAGATTAACGTTGTAATGCACAGATTTTAATATGCGGACGCTTGTCTGAGATATTCAGCTTCATCATCTGGCATGTTTTATAAAGTGCATCATCATCATCATCACCCGGTGTCCGGCGGCGAATCCTCAGCAAGATGAAGATGACTGTGAAGATCAGCTCTAATTCTCCCCGACAGCTTCACCTCCACAGCTGAGTCTGTCCGTCACACACACACACACACACACTGCGCTTTTTCCAGCTGATGCCAACACAGATCTATATCCAGATCCATTTCCAGGTTCACTGCTTTATCCTGGATCATCGTCTGCCATTGGGTATACTGTTAAAATTGATCGTTTACAGCAAGGTTAAGGGCACAGTTCACACAATCATGAAGATGTGTCGTTTATTCAATCCTGATAGAGTTTCTGTCTGCTGTCGAACACAAACGAAGATATTCCTGCTGTATGTTTACATCTGAAATGAGAACAAAATGAGCGAAATGAGCGCAAATGAGAACAAAACAGTCACGTCCTGATCAACCGGAGCACATACTGATCAGAGAAATGGAGTTTAGTTTTGTTGGAGAAGCCACTGCGGTGTTTTTTCGTGTAATGTAATGTGTATATTTTACATACAGCTGCACATTTGTGTATGGTCATGGGATTGGATTTGGATTAGGAGATCATGATGGGTAAGGGCTGATGGGGGTAATTTACACCTCTACTCTGTACCAGAAGTGCCATGGGATTATTAATGAGCAAACAGAGTCAAGATCTCAGTTTAACATCTCATCTGAAAGACGGCGCTCACTTACAGTATACAGTCCCCTTCACTATACTGGGGCGTTAGGACTCACATAGACCACAGGTTAAGCGCCTCCTGCTGGCCCAAACACTTTCAAGAGCAACCTAGAGTTCCCATGTGGTCTCCCATCCAGACACTGACCAGGCTCAGCCCTGCTTAGCTTCATTGAGTGAACGCTCTTGGGCAGCTGTGGCCGTATCAACATCTCTAATTAATGAGTTTTGCCTCAGAAGACGATGATGAAAACGCACGGAGCGCAATACGCTGGTTTTTGGAGACACTCAAGACCGTTCTGGAGGTAATAATTGATTTAATAATTCACATTTGAACACAGAGGAGTCCAAACAGTGCCTTTACTGTTTGTGTGCATTGACATGTGTACTGTTCTGTGTCTGTTTGTTTTTTTTTAACAAAATAATGAGTGTAAAATGGTTTATAGATCAAAAAATTCTGATTCATCTGCTGATCACAATTTGCCCCCAATATTCATGTTAATGACCATACTTAGGCCCAGGGCTGGACATTAACACCCGCCAAATGGAGTAAGGTGAAGCTGCAGGCCCAACTGCAGGCTCAGACCTGCTCGCACAGACCTATCGTTTTCTCAGACAGCGCCACCTGCTGTTGGGTTTGTTGAAGCGGCCGTTGCGGAGACCCAACTGCACACTCTGACAAACTTTCTAACAAGTAGCAACATCAGACATGCCAGTAAGGTCATTGATTATTAAAGCGATTCCTGAAAATGACCAGGTTTTATGGCATAAATGGTGTAAAACATTACGCTAACAAACAATTACTTCAGTGTTTGATTTGATCAAAATTAGTGTCAAAAGAGCTTATTAGGCTGGTTCAAGCTGTTTTTTTTTTCAGTAGGGATATATTAGACTTGTGTTACCATAGCAACAATAGTAATACAACAATAGATTAATTGAATTACTTTACTGTACTTGACTAGTGCAGTTGAATGACTTTTGTGCTGGGAGCACTGTCCAAATATGGTGGTGGTGTTGACGCATGCTCAGGGTCTGTATGCGATATTTACTGTATCTATGGTGAATGCTTATAGCAGTAAGTACAGCTTAATGTTTTTACATTGTTGTTACACTATTTCAACCATATTTTGACATTTTATAAGACGCTTTTTAATGATTCAACCTATAGAATATTTCAATGTGGTCATGTCTTGTCCTATTTATCATCAAACTATTTCATGACTGTAACAACCCTGCTGAAAAAAACAGCTTAAACCAGCCTAGGCTGGTTTTAGCTGGTTGACCA